TGCTATCATTCAGCGCCGTAGGCGTCAAACGTACAGAATTTTTGAGTTCTTGCTGACATAGGAGAGGTTTTTTTTTCCTGCAAGAGCAGACTTATCACGCCTACTCTTGATTTCCAAGCGGCGATCGCTAACCTCGGGTGTAGGACCGCCTGGTGACAAAAAAAACTAAACGCGAGGATCTGGCCTGATCCTGAAACACAGATAATGCCGTGCACACCTTAAAGGAGACGAAAGTGTGGTTTGCTAGGGATGACTCACTAAGCTTGCTAGAAAAGAGCAGGAAGTTCTCAAAATTCGCCCAAGTGTTCGGATGCGCTTCAGGGCATGGCGTTTAATCTGTTCGAAAGGCAATTTCTTGGAGTTCACGGCTTACTTCCTCCAGCATTCATGACAATAGAGCAGCAAGCATATCGAGTTATGTCAAGATTGCGCCAGCAACCCAACGACCTTGCCAAGTGAGTGCTTTTACTGACGTTCACTTGATTACTTTCCTTGCTTTAGGTATATCCAGTTGGCCAGTCTTCAGGATTTAAACGAGAAATTATATTATAAAGTGATTTGCGACAACGTCAAGGAATGTATGCGCCTTGTTTATACTCCCACTGTAGGACTCGCATGCCAAAAATTTGGCTATATTATGAACAACGCAAAGTTAGCAGCACTATTTCATCATAGTGAATGTTCTCAGCCATACTTCTTGTTCAAGGGGCTTATATATTACCATCAACGACAACAGTGTCAGCAAAATCTACCAAATTTTATCGAACTGGCCTCAGAGAGACATACAGGTGATTCGCTTTTATTTACTTGAGCACATGACATAAATGCACTTCATCGTAGCAAATCATTCTTATTTACAGTTCGATTTCAAGAAGTTGTAATTCCTTTGACAGTCCCTTAGGTTGGTAACTTCTGGTTTCAGGCAATTGTCGTAACGGATGGTGAAAGAATTCTTGGTCTTGGAGATCTTGGCGCATACGGCATGGGGATACCCGTTGGCAAGCTAGCTTTGTACGTAGCACTAGCTGGCGTGCACCCTGGACGCTGCCTACCGATTACCCTCGATGTTGGGACCAACAACAAGGTTAGCTTATGATAGTATGCGACGGGGGACTAAACTTTTGATTACATTGTGTTTGGAGCTTTACCAAAAGTAACAAGTCATCTCAATCGGGACCAGCTCGAAAGATAGTGAAGCGCCCATCGGCAGCGCTGGTAGTTACCCTTTGATTCAACGGGATTGGCGGCTGGAAGGCGGGACTTCGAGG